TTAAAAGTACATTTGCACACCCATGTTCACAGCAGCGTCATTCACAACAGCCGAAAGGCAGAGGCAATCCAGGTCCACCAATAGATAAAGAGAGACATAAGGTGTGGTCTACCCATTCACTGCAGCATTATTCTGCCTTAAAAAGGAAGGAAATCCTGACGCACGCCACACTCTGAATGAACCCTGGGACATGAGGCTGAGATAAGGCAGCCACCAAAGGTCAAATCTTGTGTGATTCCATGCATATGGGGTCCCTAGAGTAGACAAATTCTTACGAGACAGAAAGCAGAATGGCGGATGCCAGGGGCTGGGGGAGGGGGTAATGGGGACAGAGTTTCCATCTGGGAAGAGGAGAAAGTTCTGGAGTCGGATGGTGGTGATGGCAGCACAGCAATGTGAATGAACCACTGAACTGCCACCTAATCATAGTTCAAATGATGCCTCATGCATATTTCACCGTACTAAACAAGAGAATATTTAAGATCTCCAGGTGATCTGAATGTGGCACAGCTAGGGGTCAACAGGTGGGACCCCCATGCTACAGACTCGAGGACCACAACACACAGAGGAAAAGGTAACCCACTCCAGGTCACAGCCGGCCCTGTAGGAACCAGGACTCTGGCTCAGGGTCACCCCCTGGTCCTGAGCTCTGGTCCTTGAAGGGACTGAGCCGCACACACAGGAACAATCCTGGACTTGCCCTTGGCATTCTGGAAAGGCTCTCTGGTCTGCACGTGGCCCTCACCCCAGCGGGGGCTGTTCCTCCAGGAAACCTGAGCGCAGTGGAAAAACAGCCTGCAAGGGTGGGCCAGTGTGGGGTGGGCCTGGCGAAGTGCATTTCCTCATGGACTAGAACAGACGCCCCTCGTTCAGAATTCTAAAACTCAGCACAGCCAGACCGCCCCTCCCGTCCTCCTGGGTTCCCTGCTCTGAGGCTGACCCGAGGCTGTGCAGACAGGAGGCACCTCCCTCATTCCCACAGGAGGCTGAACCGGGGCAGGAACACCCAGTTCAGCGGGTTTAAAGTTAAGATTCTGAACAGGCTATAGAAAGAGGGAAAGAGGGGAAAACATTCTCCGGTGCAGGCAGAAGCCACGGGTGTCTTCTCCAGGGAGGAGGGAGACGGGGGAGAGGAGGACAAGGGGAGGGATGAGAGGTGACAGAAGGGACAATAAGGAGAGTCACCTCGGGCGTGTTATGCTCTGGCTGTGATGAGGACAGGCCAGTTTCTCAGGGTTCCTTAATCAAATCCCAGGCACAGTCCCCTCGGAGAGTCCCGTGCAGGCGGGGGTGGGCCGAGAGCTGTGGGATTTTCTCCTGCCCGTGCATGTGTCAAGATGCTCTGGGGGGAGGGCTGTGCCCGGAGACACGTTCCCTAAGAGAGGGAAACTCCTGCCTGGGTCATGAGGTGACAGGTGGCCCCAAAGAAGTTATGTCCACAAGAAACCCCTGCCATCTGTGAATGCAACATCCCAAGTTTGGGATCTTGAGATGGGGAGATCACGTTGGATTATCTGGTGGGTCCTGAATTCAGTGACAAGTGTCCCCAGAAAGGATACAAAGGACATACAGAGGAGGCACAGGCCATGAGACCACACAGGCAGACACTGGAGTGAGGCGGCCACAAGCCAAGTCAAGTGCTCGGGTCTGAATGTTTGTATCTTCAAAAAATTCATTGTTGAAACCTAATCCCCAGTGTGGGGGTGTTAGGACATGGGGCCTCAGGGAGGTGATTAGGTCATGAGGGTGCAGCCCTCACGAATGGGATCAGTGCCCTTAGAAAACAGCCCCGAGGGAGCTCCCTCGCCCCTTCCCATGTGAGACACAGCGAGAAGGCACCCTCTGTGACGCAGGAAGCGAGCCCTCACCAATCTACCTTGACGGTCGACTTCCCGTCTTCCAGATCCGTGAGAAACGAATTTCTGTTGCTTATAAGCCACCCAGTTTAGAGGGTATTTTGTTATAGCAGCCTGAACAGGCCTAGACACCAAGGAATCCCTGGAGCCACCAAAAGCTACAAGAGGTAAGACTTGGAAGGAACCCCCGGAGGGTGCATGGCCTTGTAGAACTGGAGAGAGAAGTGTGTGCTGTTTCATGGGAGCCCTGGGACACTGACCCCACCGGAAACATCATGGCAGGGAAATTTCAGGCTTCCTTGTCCACTCTAGCCTTTGCCTCCACAGTGGCCCAGGCCCAGCTGCTACCAAATGCCATCACCAGTGCCGCGGGGAGGGGCTGCACAGTCTCCCGCTCTGATCGCAGCTCTGCAGGGACACTGGCAGGTCCCAGCCCCATGCTCAGCATGCCAGCACTTACTCCCTCACCAGTCTCTGCTCACTCTGCGACCTATGGGCCAGCTGCCTCCCCCACCAGCCTGCACACTCCTGGGAGCTCAGAGGCTCAAGCAAGCCGTGTTTTTGCTCGCAGACGTGTGCATCATCACAAACGGAGAGTCAGGCAGATCTACATTTGAATTTCTTTTCTGCTCCTTATGAGCTGTGCGGCCTTAGGCAAACTACATCACCTCTCTGAACCTTAGTTTCCTCATCTGTAAAATGGGGATAATAGTAGCATTTGCGTCCTGGAGCTGTTGGAAGAACTAAATGTCACATTTCAGGCTTGATAAACGACACCTATTGAGTTCAGTAGGAAAATGACTAAAGACAGTTAATGTCTTTAAAAAAATAAAGGTGACTAGCTGGGCGCAGTGGCTCACAACTGTAATCCCAGCACTTTGGGTGGCCGAGGCAGGCAGATCACCTGAG